TCGCCGCTGTGTCGTCCCGAAGGACCAGACTCTCTTCGCAGGTCCGCTGCCTGCGCGCTCCCGTCGTACCGCACGGTCCCAAAATGACCTGCAGTGCTTGTGGCGACGCTCTCCACGGCGCCGCCGCTCTCAGCGGCGCCCTCCGTGGCACCGCCGGACTTCTCCTCTATACGTGCAGCAAGTCCTCCGACCAGCTGCACCAGCTGGCCCATTTGCTGTGTCAGCGAACTGATCTCAGACCGCATGCTGTCGATCTGCTCGCTGCTATTTGTGTCTACTGCCTGCGAGCCGTCCGGAGTGGTCCCTCCGGTTCTTCGGCCCGCCATCCCTAATGGACTCCCTCGAGGGAATAAACACTAGTGTGTTGGTATGTCCGTACTTGGGAGGAGAAGACACGCTTTAACTCTCTCTGATTAGGCACCCGCGGGAGCGAGGAAAGGAAGGGAAGAAGGGGCCCTCCCGAATTCGGGGAAGGGGGCCCACACATAGTATCCTTTTTCATGCATATGCATGCTCCTGTCTACGAACCCCCCCCGTGCTGCTAGCAGATCTACTATCCTCGTATCCAGACACACCAACAGCACATACATTCATGCTCAAGACGCGCAAAGACCACAGGACAAACAAACCCGAAATCAACTCGCGTCATTGTGTGTTGTTGTGGATTGTGTGGGTAAATGGCACAACAGGGTATGGGGCATACACCAAGGTCAAAGTGCAACTCAGACGGGTAGGTTCCTTCGAACACGGTGAAATATACCTTGCTGAGAAATCGATGCCCACTTTCACCGTGCCGTGTTGCAAACATCATGGGGTATTCGGCTAGGTTTCTCTGGAACTGGACCCTGATATTCTGGAAAATGTGGCCTGACCCGATGGAAAAACTGAACCCGTTCATGCAGGAATCGCTCTCCACTTGTACTATAATTGTACACACCTCACCAAGAGACACTGAAAACACGAATCGTACCGCCCCAACGAATGACGGCACTCGACATCCCGACATCCGAGACTTGTCATAGCAGCATGTGGTTGCCACGCCAAGTGAAACGGAAGATGAAGTAGGCTGTACTCCAGAAAGGAAATGGGTAGACATGGAACGTGTTTCGGGTGCCGGTTGCCATGGTCTGTGTGGAGGCGAAAGGTTCGTGTATCCGTCTGGGTCGCTCTTTTGCCTTGGGTGCACCCCGTTGTGTCGTCGTATGCCCTGGATTGACTCGATGTGGGATGGTCCGACTTTTGGGTTGTCTATATGGAGCTCGGTTGCCCTTTCCGGACGGGGTCTCCTCCGAGCTTCGGTGGGTTTGCCGGAGGTCGGCGTGGGGAATGAGTTTGTCTTGGTACATTCTACACCGGTCGCCCCGGTGGTCTAGTGGGTAACCTCGCAGCCTGCTAAGGGCCAGGTCATGGGTTCGAGTCCCGGCAGAGTGAGTTTTTTTCTCACTAAATCAAGGGTTTCCCCATAAAAACACCCGGTGGACGGGCGGCTCGACTTGTGCCTGTTGAGAAGAACCAACGGTTTCTCAATGACGGTGCCTTTGAACCACTCCATGATGTCAACTCGTCTGCGCCACTTGATGGAGATGAAGGGTCGTTCTCTGGCGCGTTCTCGCCTCGCCTACGCTGCAGACGCGGGGATGAACGAGTGGGGTTTCCCCATAAAAACACCCGGTGGACGGGCGGCTCGACTTGTGCTTGTTGAGAAGAACCAACGGTTTCTCAATGACGGTGCCTTTGAACCACTCCATGATGTCAACTCGTCTGCGCCACTTGATGGAGATGAAGGGTCGTTCTCTGGCGCGTTCTCGCCTCGCCTACGCTGCAGACGCGGGGATGAACGAGTGGGGTTTCCCCATAAAAACACCCGGTGGACGGGCGGCTCGACTTGTGCTTGTTGAGAAGAACCAACGGTTTCTCAATGACGGTGCCTTTGAACCACTCCATGATGTCAACTCGTCTGCGCCACTTGATGGAGATGAAGGGTCGTTCTCTGGCGCGTTCTCGCCTCGCCTACGCTGCAGACGCGGGGATGAACGAGTGGGAGGTGACATGCTCGAACCCCTCGACAAAGGGGACGAGGCTGCACTGCTGACTTCCTGCGTACCTCCTCCACGTGCACGCGAGGTAAGGACCACGTCTACGACCAAGCTGGAGCTGCTGCAGGAGTCGCTCTCCTCTCCGGTCGCACTGCTGTCCATGCAACCACTCAGGGCCGCCCCCTCCTCCATCTCCTCCTACCCACTCACAGACGGCCGGGCTCTTGCCGCCTGGGCCCCTACCGCCTCGCGCTGAGTCGCGATCCTCTTTCCTCTTCCAGAGGCCCTCCTACGTCGATCAAAGATGATCCAGTTCAAAAAAATACGCGAGCTGCTCTTCCGCCGCACGCGGGCACCAAGAAANTACGTCGATCAAAGATGATCCAGTTCAAAAAAATACGCGAGCTGCTCTTCCGCCGCACGCGGGCATTAAGAAACTTCTCGCGCGCCCGAATACCGACCCAACAACTGCACACACGTTGCTGTGAAAGAAACCCCAGTCTCCGCTGCTCAGCCTTCTGCGCAGGGAGCGCTTGATTGCGTGCGCTCGTACGTGCCGCTTCGTCCCGTCCTCGACGGAAAAGGTTGCCGGCGTATTTCTTCCGGCCAAAAAAAATTGAAAATCCTAAAAAATAACCCGGTGGATTTTTCCGTCGGGACCCGGCCCAGACGGAAAAAAATCGCCCAACCGGAAAAAATCGGCCCAAATGGAAAAAAACTGGCGGACGGGGAAACCCGGGAATAAATCCTGGTCTAGGACGAAAGCGACGCGCTGCAAAGCTCGTTGTTAGTAAACCATAATCGACTTCGTAAGTCGCGAGGGAAGGGATTGCTGTACCCTTCTCGCGATAAAAATACCGCAGGCAGGAACCGCAGGAGGGGGTCCAGCCCCCCCCTCCTATGTGACCCCGGTTGGGTCGTCTAGCTAGTAGAAGTGGAGGATAGGGGCCAGAGGGGCAGACGACAGAGTCCAATGATGGGAGAAAAAAAAAATATATATATATATATACTGTAGCTGTGACCCAGCAATTGCTTGGTGGAGTTGCGCTTTGCGCCCGCTCAGCGCGAACCTCTCCCTGTTATAGCAACCAATCGAGTGACGTCTGTACAGGCAAGGGTTGTGATAATTGTAGTGGAGAGTGACTCACAGGCGAGTTGCAACAATACGCCGTAATTCCGGGGCTTCCTAGACTGCACTCGCGGCGAAACGCACAAGGCGTACAACATCAGATCTCCGATCCTCCCATCCATATACTTGACGACAACGTCGCATCTCAACAGAAGCCAGCATAAGCAAGAATTTCGGGTCTGCTTACGGCGGTTCTTCTGTGTCTCCACAGAGGACCTATGACGAAGTTGTGTGCTTTGGGATTGTCATGCTGACAATATTCGGCATTCTCGTTGTATGCACCATGAAGAGGTTTGCTGTGGCCAGATGGTTGTTGAAACCCGAACCGATGCGCGTCTGGTAATCGTGGTGTATCAGGCTGTGACTGGCCTACACCATAATACGGCGAGGCGTAAACCGTTTTACGTGCAGCTACATGTAACGTAATGAGAGTACACTCTTGTTTTCATTCACCGTACGTTCACCCGCACACACACTTTGGTACGCCAAGCTGGAAGAAATTACCCCTTACCCGTCCGGAAACATTGTAGCTGCGTTCCGGCAAATGCTTGGTGGAGTTGGTTTCGCGCTCGCTTGGCCAAAAGGCCAGGGCTCTTCGGTCTAGCTATTCGCTGAAAAAGGCAGACCAGGGCTCTTCGGTGCATGTGTGCGCTCTCTCCAGGGGGCGCAATTGGACCCCCAACCGCATAGCCCTCACATACATGATGCCGAGGTCGGATATCGTCCCCAAGCACCACAAGCAGTCCCCTGTTTGATGGTACGATAGACGAAATTGAAATCTTGAAATCGTTCATGAGTAGAGTAAAACGAAGCAGGCAAAAAAAAAAAAGAAAAGCCACTTGAGAAACATGTTCAACAAAAACTGGCCAGTGCATTCAACACAAAGCGTTTCCATCAGTTTGTTTACGAGCCTGATGCATTCGCGCCTACAAAGAGTACCCAACCACCATTCTGCGCTACATCACAAAAGTGTCGGAAAGGTGGCGGGTATTTATTTCTGGAAAAACAGCTTCGATAGTTGGCATAAAATCCTCAAACAATACAAAAAAACAACTTTTTGGCCAAAAGAAACGAGCATTCGGAAAGCACAAATGCCCCAAACATTACTCATGAAAACATGCCACATCCTTCTTCCAATGCAATGTCCAGAAATGCCGAGCAAGCATGAATGTGCCCCGTGCTGCAATATTCCCCGAAACTTACAGATCGGTGCCTCCCTAATCTCATGGGTTGGACGCAAGACAATCATGTAAAAATCCATACCGTAACAGCCCCCCAGCTGAAACAGGCGGTTATTACGAACACAATGTTTGGTAGGATAGGAAGGAATTACGTGTGTTTTGCAACCCACACGCATTGCATGTAGATGCCAGTGTTCGACCCGTATTCATCCCGAAACATGCAAAATGAGCGCCGTGAAAACCATACATCCCCCAACGCACGGCCACTGTTCTGCAACTATATGTAGGTTCCTGTACCCCGGGGTTTAGTGTCGTACAGCAGTGACACCAAAACAATAGCTGGCCTACACGTACGAGAGTTGTCGTTGTCTTCGCAGAAAAAAAAAATCGCAGAAACCGGTCGCCAGAAATGATAGAAATACAACAACGAAGATAGCGCCCCCACAGAACAAAACATATGTGGCACATGCAGGCCCGAAACGTTCACAAAAGCTGCCCTGCAGCTACGTAGCATCGAAATCTGTGCACCACAAGAATGATCAACCTCTATGCACTGAAATTACGGTGGGGTTCAATTGGACTTCCCGTAGCGATTTGGTTGGGAAATTTGCACATTATACGTCCAATCGCACATGACCTGTCATCCAGATCGAAATCAAAGCCAAACCACCATACAACAGAAGGGAAGGAAGCCAAGAGCTCAATCAAGATAGCAACTACTTCCTTCGAGATACGTTGCCCTTGGAAGGATGCTCACTACTGTGCGAAACCTGAGAGAAGCGGCAGGTCGGGTACCGTGCAAAACACGCGCTGGGTATAAAAAGAGAGAAACGAAAAAAATCGTCCATGGGCTAGTACCAACAACGCTGTTGCCGTCGACGTGAGCTACGTACACGACGTCTCGTTAAAATCACCGCAAACCGCCCACTAGAGGTCTTCCCTGTCTCATTCATCACGTTTGCACTGATTGCTGTCCCAGTTTCAGCACATGATCCAGGATAATCTGACAACGAAGTGTATCTTGATCGGTTTCCCCGAGATTCCTCTTGCAGATTGCGACTGTCCTCTTGCATAGTGGAACTGCCTCCGTGTGCCTCTTCTGCAGGCGTTTGAGATGCAGGGTTGGGAAACTTAAACCAAGTGTGCAAACCGAAAATGTGAGTAAAGCTGGTGAACAAAAATAGTTCGTTCACCACGTAGTTCATCAAGTAGTACCCAAGCGATGCGTTGTAATAGAGGTTCACCGGACTGTGAAACTGAGCGCATCGGCACATTTGGACTTCATCACCAATAGGCAAGACAAGTATGTTGCCGAAAAATGGTCGCAGCTGTCATCTTTTCCCTCATGCCCGCGGACTAGGAGTAAATGTCCGGCAACATAATGAAGTCGTCTGCTCATCCAACAGTTGCCCCACAGGGTCGAGGTTTGCGGCCACGTCCGTGTGGCCAGGGCCGTGCACTGTCACATGTTCTCTCTCTCATCCGTTGAAGTCGAAAGGAAACAGCGTGTTCCTTGCCTTGGTTGGCCCCAGGCATCCAGGGCTTTCGCTTCGTAGTTTTAACAAAAACACATGCTCGGAGGGAGTCCATCGCAATTACATTGTAGGGTCAGCCCGGATGGAAACTCGATGGAGTGGAGGGCGTCGATTGCCGGTTTTCTCAACGTTGTCCCCGGAGACAAATCAACAGTCTTTAGCTTAAACCTTCTGACTGAACTTCGGGGCGGGGAGGCGGTCACAACCCCAGGGGCGGTAAATTCAAAGTGGATTGGTGTCTTCCCTGGAGCGTGGTAAGGTCTGGAATGAGGAGGAAGAAAAGCTCTCGAAGGCTTAACAACCACAACATCCGCATAGCTCCAGACAACCACAAAATAGCTTCTTGCAAATCTGGTGGCTCTCTCACCTGCTTGTCCAGCAACATCACCCGGTTGTGGAGCATAGCGACCAAACCCTGGTCGTGTGGTCCCCGCGCGTTCTCCCAAAGCATAATAGCTTGAGTGTACAGACGGTCGGCCACTTCGAACTTGCCCTGTGTAGTAAGTACCGGGGTTTTGTTAGGCAGCGGCCCAACAAGGACCACCCCCCTTCCTTGAATGAGCAAACAGATTCTACGTTGACTTGCCAATTTCCGTCCGTCCGTCCGTCCACGAACGGCGGAGCACTGGCCTTCCAACCCCTCCCCCTCCATAATAATCAGACATGCATGCCTACTAATATAATGAAAGTAATCTACGTCTGCAGTCGCACCACATTATCAGGCCGTTTCTTACACCGAGTGTTTTATTGGAATTGGTTTTTCTCTCGCGCTTTGTGAGGGGGTGGTCTGCAAGGGAAAACATGTGCAGATCCGAGCGACCTTCTTACGACCCCTCGAGATATATAATTTTTCCCAGTGGAAAACAAAGGTCGATTCAAGTTCTTGTGGGTCGCAACATCCTTCAGTTCACGTTTTCGGCTCGTGTGCGGCCAACATGACAGAGCGGCCTGTTTTTGCATCGCCTGCAGAGGGTATGTGTATGACCGTACGCCACTGGCTGCAATTTGTGTATGTCGTCGGCCGAATGTCTCTGTCCGGCATGCATTCGTCGACTGATAACACATGATGCAACCAGAACATTAAAAAGCATTGACAACGCAGCTTGTCTCGGGCAACCGTGCTGGTCCTAGCTTCTCGCTATTTTTGTGAAGGTGGTATTTGCTTTTGTCAATGATTCGGGACGGTTATTACAACGACGCTTTTTCTCTCACTAAGGAAGCGGTAGGCAAAGACGAACAAGATTCATGCAGATAGTCAAAATATTGTACATGTAAAGGAGCCAACCAAAGAACACATATATGCGCGCGAGGTAACCATTAACAAGTGAATTGTATCCGTGAAAACGCGGCGGAACAAGCCCGCGGAAAACACGCCCGCGGGGTAGGTGGCAGTGGTGTCCCCCGAACCTCTCGTTGGCAGGCCAAATATATAGACACACGTCGAAGGGGTTTCGTGGCAGGTAAGCAATACGCGCGCAACTCGATCGAAAAGGAAGGTAAAGCACTGTGGATGGATACGCTCCGTTGAGAAAAACAGAGTCCTCAGCGTACATGCCCACGCGCATAATTCCGAGGTGAACTGTAACGGATCGGATATGTTCCAATGAGACTCGAGACGTGATAAACCATATGCCCGCGCGAGTAATAAAAACCGTAACCGTAAAAATGCGGCGGAACATACTTACGTGCGCGGCGAAGGCGGAAGCCGTGCGCCCCGAACCTTTCGTTGGTTGGCTGGATACGTAGACACACCGCCATTGCAGCGTCGTAGGTGCCTTCAATCTAGTTGTAGATTGGACGGGGCTTCAATTTGATGGCGGGTAGGCAACGTTTTCGCACAAATTGATCGAGATCGGAGCAATTTGGTGCCGGGAGAACCTGCGGCATGCTCGTGATTGGTGCCTGAGACGGCGGATCACCGACACAGCCAAACCTTAACGCAGGACGCAACAATCAAGCTGAAACTTGCTGAGGGCGTCTAGAGTTGTGCAGGACGGCCGATGGGATTGTTTTTCTCGCCTCAGCGGTTCGGGAAAAAAAGTGCGTGGTTCGGAGCTTCCGAGTGAACGGCATCAGACAGGCAAACAGGCTCATATTTTTTTCCGTTCTGTGAGACCTCTTGAGACCGCAACGATCTCTCAGAGAAAAACGCAAAAAAGCAAACATCGAAACACACTTCGGTTCACGTTTGTAGGCCGTGTGCAATCAAACTGGACAATACGCCCTGTTTCTGGGACCTGAGCAGAGGGAATGTGTATGACCGCATGCCATTGACTGCAGGTCGTGGATGTCGTCGGCCAAAAGCCTCCCTTGACTGGTCACACATGCCGCTGTCACAGAAACGGCCTTTTTTTTTCGCCGAAACGCACCAACGTCAGTGAGTAACGTGGTAGAGGTTGACGTTTTCGGCTCTTGTGCGGGCAACACGACGCAGAACACCCTAAATTGTTGATACCTGCCGAGGGTTCGTGCAGGGCCTCACGATACTGGCCTTTCTTTGGGCAACACACCGTGTAGTTCCTCGTTATGGCACGATTGGGGCGTGAACCCCCCCATGTTCTCACAGTGAAATATTTCCCGGATGTAAGAAAAAAAAGCCAATTTCTTAGTCCCCGGCCGGATCCTTGAAAATATTCGGGCTGTAGGAACTTGCCTTTTTCCTTCACGGAAGAAGCCCAATTATTTGTGTGGGCTAAGAAAATGACCCCCTCCCCCCACTCACACAGAATACCGGTCCTCCGGTGTTTGCCATCGGGGTTGGGTTTTCGTCGCTTGGCAACAACGTTGTAAAACAAGCCGCCCNCGGTTACCTCACACCCTCCCCCCGGTGTTTGCCATCGGGGTTGGGTTTTCGTCGCTTGGCAACGACCTTGTAAAACAAGCCGCCCCCTCGGTGTTTCACCGAATATCTCACG